TGGTATGGTGCGGGCCTATCCATGTGAGTGTATAGCAGAGTGTGGTGTGTGTGTGTGGACTCTAAATGTGAGTGCCTGATAGGATGTCTGGGTTAGTTTTGTTTGGAGGTATATGGTTACCAGGGGGCTGAGGACGCATGTGGCAGTGACTGGGGAATGGTGGGCGAGCGCGCAGTGGAAGACTGAGCTTGGCTGGTGAGGAAGGGTGACTGGAAGAAGGGTAATTTACATGCATTTACTGAGTGTGCACAGAACCTCCAGAAGCAGATGTCTGAATAGATGAGGATGTGAGGGGTCTCTGGGCAGAAGGGAAGAGATGGTGTTTATGTTTGTGTCTGTTGCTGGTGTCTTTGTGCTTTTGGGGTGGGGAAAACTTCTGAGTAAAGTTGAGTTGCTGCTGGGGTCTACATGGATGTTGAGAGTTGTCATGCAAGATTTGGGTCTGTGTGAGAGGTTAGGAGAGTGCAAAGTTGGTGGCCTCTATGGCAATAAAAGCTCTCCGTGCTGCCTGGGGTCAGGGAGGAGTCTCTGGGTCCCTGGATATTGTGGTCTGTAAGGTTAGTGGTGGGACTTCACTGTGCTGAGGTGCTATTGTGGGGAGGGGGAGGGCTCAGTTTGGGATTGGCAGGTTTCTGTCTGAAGGGTCTCCAGGTAAATAGGGGTTTCTGGGAGAAGAGGGTCTCCTTGGAGAAGAATCTCAGGTAAGGAAGCTGCCACACGAGCTGTTGCTCTTACCGTCCCCTTTGCCGGACCCCTTGGTCTTCTTCTTTTTCTTCTTCACCTTGCGTTTAGTCAGCTGGGAAGAGCTGCCTGCGATGGGAGGCAGTCTGGACCCCTTCAAGCACGCTGCGCTGCCTTCTTGCTCTTCCTGCTCGTCCTCATCTTCGCCCTCTTCATCATATCCCAACGCCCTGGCCCCGCGGTGGCGGTCCATCAGTCCATCCGGGGACAGCCAGGGATGGGGGAGCTGGGGCTGCGGCAGCCAAGCCCGCGCCGAGCTAGGCTGGAGTCACGCGTCTCCATGGCGACCACTCACTCTGCGCGTGCGCAGTCGGGAAACTTCAACTCACGTTTCTCTAGCGTGCAGGTGTGTGCTTGCAGGTTTCAGCCTGAGAAGCTGGTAGGTTCTGTGGCGCGAGGGAGAATGGGAGAGATCCTAAACGCACGGCTGACACGTAGCTCCCCTACTCCTCTGCCTTTTAAAATGTTGTTTATTCTTCCAAAATTTTCATCGTCCTAGTTCCATTCTTGTAAGTCTACTGTGGCCTTTCAAGCTCCCCATTCCCAAACAAGCTTTTCCATCTTTCTCCATCCCAGTAAACGAAACAGCTGGACCAACCAGAAACCTGGCGACTTACCCTGACTCTACTGTCTCCCTGGGTCCTCAACTAGTTTAGGGCTGAATGCCTTGTCTGGCTCTTGAACTTCTGAACCCCCGTCCTAAATGATCTCTGCTTCCAAGCCTCCCCACGCATTCTTTATCCACATAACTGTGAGAATGAACTCTTTAAGATAATTGGATAATTACATTCTTACTTAAAACTCTCCGGTGGGTTCCCATCACATCATATCAATACACAATCCATATCAATATTGGACTTAGTGTGGCTTACAGGGGCTGGTATGGTCTGTCAGCAGTGTTTCTAGGCTTATCCACTACAGATTGTATTTACCAAAATTGCTTACAACCTCTCTGATCCCAAATGTTCTAGAATCTTGCCACACACACAGGGAGGGACAGAGTCAAATTCCACTTTCTTTGGCTCTAGGTGGGTTCGTTGACTCACTTGTAGCAATAGTGTGTGAGGAAAGTAACACAGTGGCTCCCCGGGTTAGGTCATAAAATGTAAGGCAGCGGCCACTTTTTAGGGGAGAACTTGTTCCTGAGACCTGACCCTTCTGGTGACAGGGCTGAGTACCCTGAGGCCACAGTACTGTGAGGGACCCTAAAGCAGGCTACAGGGAGACTGTAGCCAGAGACTATGTGAAGCCAGAGAGCTACCCCAGTGAGGGCTGCTGCAGCCCCCACTTTTCCACAGCCAGCCATAGTCTAACCATAGGCGACTGCAGTGGCAGGAGAGAGCCCCCAAGCCAGCCCCACCCAGCCAACACCTTCCTGAATTCCTGACTCAAAGAATCTGTGGGAGATAATGAAATGATTGTATTTAAGGTACAAATGTAGTGTTACTAGTGTTTGGGTCATGATAAGATAGGCAGCAACGGATAGCTTTGATTTCAGCCATTCTAGTGCTTATAAAGTTTTATTTCCCTGTGGTTTTGAGTGTCATTTCCCTAATGACTAATCATGTTGAATATTTTTTAAACCGCTGATTGGACTTCTGTGTATTTTACTTTGTGAAGTGTCCGTCGAAGTCTTTTGCCTGTTTTGCAATTGGATTAAATTATATTTTTGTTATTGACTTGTAAAATTATATTTTTGTTATTTACATGTCTCACCTATAACTCCTTTGTTAGATGTGTGATTGTAAAGATCTGTAGCTTGTTTATTCATTATCTTAATGGTGCCTTTAAGTAGGTAAAAATTTTAAATTCTGATGAAGCCATTTTTATCAATTTTTCATTTTTGTATCTTGCCCAAAGAATCTTTTCCTACTCCTAAATCGTAAAGATGGATTTTGTTTTCTTTAAGAAGTTTTATGGCTCTGGGTTTTAAGGTCAGGATCATGATTCATCTCAAATATTTCTTGTGAATAACGTCAGATAGGGCTCAAGATTTATTTCCTGTTGTCCCAACAATTTGCATTGAAATGGCATTCCTTTCCCTGTTGACTTAGTACTTTTGTGCAAAATCAGTTAATTGTACATGTCTGAATTCTGTTCAGCTCCATTGATCTCTGTGTGTCTCTATTCCAAACCGTACGATTCTGATTACTGTAGTTTGTAGGAAGACTTGATATCAGGTAATGTAAGTCTTATAATTTTATTCATCTTGAAGATTTTTTGAGTAGAAGCTTTGCTTTTCCATATACATTTTCAAATCACCTAGTCTGGTTTTCAAAATAGCCTGCTGAGATTTTGAGGGAGGCTGCACCAAATCTCTGAGTTTTGGCACTCTTACTACTCTTAGTAATGACAGTCATTAATGCCACCTCACGAGCTCCAGTGTGGACACAGCTTCTAGAAAGGGCCCATCGGTGGTTCTAAATGTATGCACTTGGTTCTGTCATCCATGGACACAGTCTCTGTGTCCAGCGCAATACAGCACACAGTGAGTGCTTGGAATCACCCTTGCTTGTCCACTTTTGTCTCTAGCAGCTAATAAAAATGATGTCGTTTTTGGAGTTTGGGGCCCTTGGGTTCACTCTGAGGAAGATTTCACCAGAGATCCCTTTTCAGTGGCCTGTGGTGAGTTCCTTAGGCAGTTTCTTAATGAGACAGAGACTCAGTTATATTTAAAGAACAGGTTTATTAGGGAAAAGGACAGAGGAGTAAAGGACACTTGCATAGGTACAAGCAGTCAGGAAGAGATGCCCAAAGGGACAGGCTTGCTGAGAGGCCTGCATGGTGGCAGGCAGGCGGCCTTAGAGAGCGGCCTCCACAGAGGGAGGTCAGTGCAGAGAAGTCCCGGCAGGTACAGGTCACCAGTGGGCAGCAGGCTACTGCCCTGCAGAGGGAGAGGGTGGACAGAAGCACCTGCATAGTCAGGGGTGGGCAGAGGACTGCTGCCACCACCCAGTATAGAGATTGCCCTGATATAGTCCTTTTCTAGCTGGGAGGGGCTCCCTCCTTTGTGGGGTGGCCTGTTGGCTGCTGATTTTGGATAAGTATGTGGAATCTCAAAATGCACCCAATCTCTATATCTTTACCCCCAGGTCTGTGCTTCCCTCCAGCAGTCTGATACAGGAATCTCTATGACTGGGTGAATGGTCATGTTTGTTCCTTCTGCCCCCACCTCCCTGCATGAGTCAGGGTTTAACCTTGAGATGTCTCCTTCAGGTTTTCTACTCTTTTCCTCCATCAGAAACGTAAATGACAAAGACCTTTATGTAGTGGCCACATGCTAGTAATATCTGGGAATCCTCATCCTGGTACCCACAGATGGGCACTTGGAAAGGGTCACTGCCCTCCCTAGAGTCTGGTCTGCCCTCTCCCTCAGTCCTCCTTGCCTGGAGGCTTATCTGGCAGGAGGCAACTTGCCCATTTTAGTGAAGGTTGTGTTGGGCCAGCCAAATCAGCTTTATTTTATGTGGTATAGATTTTTCATTTTATTTCTGTATTTTCTTACATCTTTGTTAATTTTTTGGGTGCTATTTAATTTTTCCCCTCCATTGGAGTCCCTGTAGATCTCCTGCCACCACAGCACCCATGACCCATCTCCATAATGCCTTGCGCTCTTCCCTCCCTTCTTGACCCCTCACCTCTCCCCTTCCCTGCCAGGTGGCTCAGATCTATAACTGGCCTGCAAGTTCTGTCTTTTTTTTTCTTGACACTTTTTTGGTTTCTCTACATTCCACATGTATGTGAGACCATCCAGTATTTATCATTTTTCTTCTGACTTTCTTTGCTTAACATAATCAAGTCAGCTTAAAAGGGAAGTTCACCTGTGGCAAAGTAATACTTTTTTTGAATAATAATAAAATCCCCTTGCAAATAGGGAGAGAATGGGCAAATATTGTATCACCCTGTTTGATCTTTGAGGAAACAGACAGGAAGATGCAAAGTGGCTTACTCAGCCTCTAGATGCTAATTAGCCACCACTGGAGCCTGGAATCCATATTCCCAGTTCTACAAACCTTGCGTGGGGGGAGTAGAGTTTGGGGGGAAGGGGGAACAGTGGACCTTATAACCTTTTTCAATAACAAGAAAAAGAGATGATATTTTCATTATTTGTTTCCTTGTTCATATTTCCTCCTGTAATCTCGGTGGCTATTATGCTTATAAGCAGGTAAAAGTTGAAGCTTCATCTCTGTAAGGATCAGATTTTCCCCTTGGAGGCAGCTTTCTGTCTCAAGGCTGCCTGCCTGTGTCTACACAGGCATCTCCCTTCACAGTTTTCACAAACATTTTCTTGTCAAAAGCAGCAGCTCTCTGCTCTCCCTTCTCCTTTTCCTAATAAATGTGTCCATTTTAAAGACAAAACTCAGCTAATGGACCATAGAGGCATCTAGAAGAGAAGGGGAGGGGGTGTCAAAGCAGGGGAGGGAAGAGCACAGAGACTAGGGTGACTGATCAGGGGTGCTGTGGTGGTGGGAGAATTATGGGGGACAAAGCTGAGGGAGAAATCAAGTACTGTCCAAAATGAACAACAATATGCAAAAATAAATACAAAATAAAATAAAATGTAAAAAAAACTTTGAGACCCTCCCTGGTGGCACAGCGGGTTAAAGCGCAGCACGAAGAAGCGAACAACACCACTTACGCGTGAGTTCGATCCCTACCTGCCCCAGAGGTGACCCACATGGTGCAGCAGATCTCTCCTGTCTAGCCCCACTGCTCCCCTCAGCAGTGTACTTCGTCAATCAGCCTGTTCTGCTCCCCACTCTGTTTTGGTGAATCCTCTCACCACACCTGCATCTCTGGCCTGTACCCCAGTTCTGTATGCATAAATAAACAAATCTTTAAAAAAAAAAAAAAACTTTTGACCAGTGCTGACATGGTGTGTGCTCTGTATAGAGCTTGTAGCTGTCTCTTTCTGCCACCTGCTCTGTCTGGTCCCCCTAGTGCTGGTTCCAAGACCTTGCACTGACAGTGACTCAGCTGTCCTATGGGACAGGAAGTCCTTGTAATCAAAGAGTCCACCTACAGAGTACCTCCCCACTCCCCAAATTCTCAACCACAATCTGAATACCAGGTACCTTGGAAAGGGTGCTTAAGTGGCCTGCTTATAAGTAGACTATTTCTTGAATCCATTCTACTGAGAAGTCCCAGAGCCAACAACAGCATAGCCAATCTAAAAACTTGGGAGACAATTAA